CCATGTCTTCTCCACTGTCTTCACTGAGTAATTGGACCCTATTTTGGGATGAGCAAAACCTTCTGGTAGGCCTTTAATCTGCAACAAAGCACACACACATATTATTTTTTTAGCAAAAATTCAAACGGCTTCATAGTCCTTGTTCCTTGCCATTTATCCAAACTCTCCAGTATTTCGGTAGCTTCACTGCCCCCATTCACTCAGAGAATGGAGCAGGCAGGTGGGAGAGAGATCTGCAGTACAGGATGCCATGGACTCAGCTCAGGGCACCCCTCCGCCTCCCTGACCTTGAAGACCATGGTTGGAATACAATTCTTTCTACCATCAGATTGAGGGCAAGAAGCTAGTAGTGCTTCCTGTTTGAAGAATGATAGACCCCAAAGCCACTTGAATTGACTCAGTCATATCAAATCTGAACTACCCTTATCAGGCTGCACCCAAGCAAACTTCTGGTACAAGCAGGAGGTCTGATATTTGAAAGCATGGATTTGAAATCCCCAAACCTTCTTTGACTCGCAGCTTTGCCCTTACTAGCATTGCAATCCTGGGCAAATGATCGAATATCTTTAAGTCAGTGGGTCTCAAAGAGTGGTTGGCCCCTAGAATAGCAGTGTCAACACCACCTGGGAAATTGCTAGAAATGCAAAGTATCAGACCCCAGCCCAGACCTACTGAACCAGAAACTCTGGGAGCAGACTCAGAAATGTATGTATGAGAAGCTCTCTAGATGATTCTAAGGAGCCCTGGTAGTGTGCCTTTGTCCTGGTAGGATAAGTGATGGGTTGCTAACCACAAGGTTGGTGGTTCTAAACCACCAGCCATCCCAAGGGTGGAAAATGAGGCTGCCTGCTCCCAAAAGATCTAAAGTCTCAGAAAGGTTATATAAGGTCACTGTGAGAAACAATTGACTTGAGAGCATTGGGTATGATTTGGGGGGTGGTCCTGATGATTCAGTTGCACACTGAAGTTTGAGAAGTTTCTGTTCATTGTCTGTAAAATGGGGATAAAAGTATCTGCTCCATAGTGTGGTTAGCAGGAGCAAATGTGATCACATATGTAGAGCTTAGAAAATGACTGATGCACACAGTGCATGGTCCATAAATGTTAGCTTATTGCTGTCAATATGATTAGTTGGATACTTGTCTTAATTGTTACAGGGTTCATAAAGTATAATTAAAATGCCAAGGGAACAAAAAAAAGTGATGAAAATAAGGAAGAAATGGGTAGCGGGGGCACAGGGCGCTAACCCACCCAAGGGGAGGGTATTGTTTATATCTCCACAGGAAAAGAGGGACCAAACTTCAAC